ATTAGGTGCAGCGGCCATTTTGAACCATTTCAACAGCTACTCAGTTAAGCGATTTAATAAAATACTTTTGTTAAAATCAGCTGACTGGCTCCTGATATTTTACTAACAAATGTAAACAAAGGCGTTGTGTTGTAACTGAACGCCTCTGTTTACCGGTGGTGACGTCATACGTGACTCTGAGCTGCGCTCTCTTTAAAGCGCGACGACGCCCCGCCCAGTTTAAACCGTGGCCACGCCCCCACCTCCACCTGCCTAACGTATAAGCAGCGGAGTGACGTCTCGAACTGAGTCCAGATCCACGACCGGAGGAAATCCCGTCTCATAGGGACCGGAGGGAGGCCCCTTTAAGTCCAGACGCTGCCTGTGGTGAGGTGCCAGGAGCGGAAGAGCGAGAGATAAACAAACAACAACAACAACAAGAGGAGGACGGAGCAGCTTTTCCCACTTCAGCTTCTTCACTGCCACAGCGGAGAACAGGTGAGCTGTTGTTTTGTTCCGGAGTTTATGGTTTTAGGTTAAAAAAGGGTTTAAATCGAGCGAGAATTGAACGTTTTGATCCGTAGTTCAACTTGAGGTGAAACATTTCCGTGTGTACATTAGAGAAGGAGTTTACAGCCTAAAAATGTTTATTTCCCGTCAAAACCAGCGAAGAAGAGTCGCTTTGCTGAAGTCAGCCCGCGCACGCGCAGTAGTGTTGTTTACAAACGTGTTTACAAACATGTTTACTTGTATTTACAGGCCGTGAGGACTTCTTTTGCTGTTGGCGTCAGGTTTTTTTCCACACGTTTTGTTTTGTCGAGTCAAATTGCGGAAGTGAGCGGCGCCGTCACGAAGCAGCGCCCCCCGGCCTGTGGCGACATCCAGCGGCCGAGCAGGGGAACTGCAGCGGGGATGTACGGAGCCTCGGGGATCCCGGAGCTGATCCCGCCCGGCGGGCCGCCCCGGCAGCCCGGTCCGGCGGGGCAGTTCAACCCGGGACACCCGCAGGGGGACCGGCACGGTGGAGGCTCCAACCCCCAGAGACTGGGACAGAGGGCGCCCAAACTGGGCCAGATCGGCCGGTCCAAGAAAGGTGAGACGAGCCCATCAGAAACCTGGACCTTAAATAAACTAATAATTATAATAAACAAATTAAACACGCACATCAATCTGTTGGTAGTTTTCTGAAATGTTCTTAAAAATTTAAAATGTATCAAGTTTTTGAGGAAAACAAACACAAAGTTCAGTTTTACAAACATTTTCTTCTGTTTTGAGCTACTGGAATCAGATGTGCCAAAAGATCACGAGTTGTTCCAAGGACAGGAAGTAGAACGAGTTGGAAACAGGAAGTAGAACGAGTTGGAAACAGGAAGTAGAATGTGTGGAGAACGTCTGAAGGCTGAAACGTTAAACCAAGGAGGAGCTAAAATTAGGAAAAAGGAAGCTAAAAGCTGTTTTATTACAGTTACAAGTTAATAGTAACAAATCTGGAATTAAAAGCTAACATTAGCAATACAGTAGCTGAGAGCTAAAAGACACAAATGTGGCTAAAATTAGCACAGCTGTAGCTAAAAGTAACGATACAGTAAGTAAAAAGCAAAAATTTGTATAACTAGCTAAAAGCTACAATCGACAGTACTGATGCAGAAAGCTAAAAGGAACAGGAATATAGCTACAAGTAGCAATGCAGTAGCTAAAATGAGCAAAGCTGTAGCTAAAAGCTAAAGGTAACAAAGCTAACTAAAAGCTAACATTAACAATACAGTAGCAAAGAGCTAAGTCACACAAGTGTGGCTAAAATGAGCAAAGCTGTATATAAAAGCTAAAAGTAACAAAATTAATGAAAAGCTAAATTTAGTAAAACTAGCTAAAAGCTAACATTAGCAATACAGTAGCTGAGAGCTAACAGGAACAGGAATGTAACTACAAGTAACACCATAGCTAAAATGAGCAAAGATGTAGCTAAAAGCTAAAAGTAACGAGTGAATGAAAAGCTAAAATGAGTAAAACTGTAGCTAAAGGCTAACATTAGCAATACAGTAGCTGAGCTAAAAGTCACACAAGTGTGGCTAAAATGAGCAAAGCTGTACATAGAAGCTAAAAGTAACAAAATACAGTAAATGAAAAGCTAAAATGAGTAAAACTGTAGCTAAAAGCTAAAATCAGCAGTACTGACACTGAAAGCTAAAAGGTATGTAGCTGCAAGTAACAATGCAGTAGCTAAAATGAGCAAAGCTGTAGCTAAAAGTAACAAACAGCTAAAATGAGTCGGCTTTAAATGTTTTACTGAAAACTGAAAATTTTCTGATCCGTCCCCTCCTTAAAACTGGACTTTGACCCGGTCTCTGTCCCCACTCGTGTCCTCCACAGTGGACCTGGACGACGAAGACCTGGACGACATCATGAACAACAACGGCCAGTGCGCCGTGTCGCTGTCGCCCATCTCCTAAACCTCGCCAAGAACTGCCAAAACCCCACCAGGGACGCCTGATCCGGCTCCCGTCGGTCCTCCTGGTCCGGCTCTTCAGGGTTTTGGAGGCGACACGTACAGGCCCGCTGTAAATAAAGTTTATCTTTGATCGGACTGAAGGAACGCGCCGATCTTCACCTCTGGAGGAGAAGTTCTGGACTGATGGTGCTCCTCAGAGCCTCTGGAGGGCTGGGGAACTTGTGACCCGGTGAGAGGGTCTCCTGTCTGGTTCTGGTCGGGCTCAGAGGGCGAGGGTCTCTGATCCTCTGCAGGTTTGTTATTGAGTGAAAATTAAATCTTTATCTTCTCCGGCGCTGATCCGAGCGACGTTACCGAACTCTACAAATCAACTTCTTCATCGTCTGGAAAGAAAAGTTTTGTCTTCTGATCGTCTCTGAGGGAGCGGCTGTCGGAGGCGCCACGAGCGGTTTAAGGGCTACGTTGTTGTTGTTGTTGTTGTTTTCAAACCAAATCACCGTTTTCTTTCTGAGCTCGTTGATGTTTTTGTTAAGCACTTTGAAAAGGTTTCAAATGAAAAGTTGATGCCAAATCGGGTTCAAACTCCCTTAACTCTGCATGTGGTCCTCTGGAACTTTATTTATGTTGTTATTTATTTAGGATTCCGTGTTTGTGAAGCGACGTGAGGCTGCTGAGACGATCGGAGGAGTTCCAACCTGCAGGTGGAGCTGCTCCTCTGGCCTGTGAAATGTTTGCTGGTTTCGGCTGTTTCTTGTTTTGTGTCTTGATGCTGCCGATCGCAGCTCGTGTTCTGGGTCACTGCAGTGTTTGGGTTCTTGTCGCCTCTTTGCATGAACTTTTCTTAATGCATCTCTGGAAATAAAGTTAAAATCCTGAAAGTCTGTTTGTTTATTTTAGTTATTATTAAGACTGGTCATGACTCACATCAAAACAAACATCGAGGACCCTCACCAGTATGCAAACCATGAGAACCGATCAACAGAGGT